CGCGCCGGGGAGCGGCCGCTTCTCCGTGTGCTCCCTCCGAGTGTGAGCGCCCAGCGCTGCCCTGTCCTCGGAAGCGCCGATCCTGCAGGAGTTCCCGTTTGAACCGCGGCTGAACTCGGGGACGGACGAGTTGCTGCATAATCCCTGACCTCGCTCTGCTTGAATCGATTTTGCTGTTTTCTTCATTGACGGTTTTGAGGCAGGGTAAACAGCTTGACTCAAAAGCGAGACTGGTTTAAATGTGTGTGCTCCGAGTATCACCCTGCTGGCCTGTGTCCCTTAAAAGGTGTGAGTGGCCCACAGCTTGTCTCTTGTCTCTTGCAGAGGCCACGTTGCTTTCTGGGGGCACGTAAGATGTGTCCTGTTCACAGAAATTTCATGAGATAATTGAAGATAACCACTAACTTCCAAAAGGGAAAGAAAGAAAAAGCACAATCCAATTTCCAAAGCACTGAAATGAACAGAGCAAGCAGAGTATTGTATGTGTAACTAACTTTGAGGTGGTCCCCTGCATACCTGGAAATGCCTAAGGCAGAATAGGTTTGCTAGATTGCTAGCAGGATGTTCTAAAGCACATGGGCTTTGCTGGTATATATCTATCTTGCTGCTTTAAGGAATAAGGCTGATAGTTCATGTTTCTTTATTGCACCGAGCATTTGTGGATTCCAGGGTTACTGGAGTAGCAGCAAAGAATCCCACTGCGTGGTTCCATTTACTGGGAGCTGCCGTTGGCTTTGCTTCTTTCTTGCTGTACATCAGGTCTCGTCCCAAATCTTGTTGGGTTGTTTGGATGCTGCACTGGTTGACATCATCCCCACTGGGAAATTCAGAGCCCGTCAGTGTTCATGGGTGGTCAAGTTTGCTTTGTTTTCTTAACAACACATTTTTGAGCTACGGGTGTGTGTGTGCTCGTGTTGGTCATTAAAAGCAGCAGAAGAATCCTCTTACTTCCAACTGCTTTTAAGTAGAAGGTTTGAAACTCTTTTTGAAGCCACTGGGCTTTAGCCTAGTAATGGGTGCACTTCAAATGTGGGATCAATGCATCCCATGCGAGTGCAAACCTGTCTGTTCAATTGCTCATTTTCCCTGCTTTAATAAGTGGTATCTTTATTGTACTGTCACTACCAGCTCAATATAGCCATGTACAATTTTATCCTTTGTGTCATTTATGTCAATAGGGAATGGAAGCTGTCAGTTGTCTCTGACCCAGATCTTTAGCTGCGTTTAGGTGCTTAAATGCCATTAAAATCAATGCTGCTACTGTGAAAGAGTTGTTTGTTTGGAAAGAAGAATATCTGCCCGCTGCTGCATTCAGAACACACTGCAGGGCTGGTGGATTATATCCGATGTGTCTGATTTCAATGCAGGCAAGGCTGCCTTAGGCTGCCTGGGTCCAGTCCTTTCATGTGTTGTCTGCTCCACATGGAAGCAAAAGCAATGATAGTTTACCTGAATATGCCATGTTGCTTCACAGCAATTGAGTTATTCTTACACCATGGTAAGCCACCCACAGCTGTGTCTCAGCCCCAGTTAGTCACTGTCCCATTGATGTGCCTCAGGCCTTGGATGGTTGCGGTTAAGTACCCTATTGTTTTGGTGACCCTAGGACACGCTAGGAGAGTTCCTGGAAGAAACCTTTACAACGCTTCAGGCACTGTTATTCATTCCTTCCATTAATATTGGAATTACCATGTTGCCTAGAAGCTCCTGTAACCCCTTGGGTTGAAGCTTCTCTCATGATACTCTGGTAAATTAGCTTGACATATTGTTATGGGAATTACAGTTAGATTCAGTTTTATTCAACTTTTTTTCATTAATGATCTAAAGGTCCAGTAAATCAGTAGCAGATCAGTAGCATGTTAATTGCATAGACAGATACTGCTTGGGAGGTGTTGCAAAAGTAACAAGGGGAAAAAAAAGCCATGAGATTAGAAATGTTAGCAAAAAAATACTCCTAGAAAAATGTAAATGCATTTAAAGGGATACTAATGGAGATACAGAAAGTGTTTTGTGGGTAGAGTATGAACATCGATGGAGCTAGGACAAGCAAAGAAAAACCTTTCTTCTGGAATGACTACTGGTGTGATGGTACCACAGTGAATCCAGTGTGGCTACTGCTTTAATTCCTGATCTTTCAACCTAAAGTTTGTGAACTTCTAGTTTGGGAAAAATAAGTGACAAGATTTTTCAGGAAGATTTCTAGTTTTTCTTAAGCGTTTAGTAGATATTTTAGGAAACAGAGTCTTGAGTTCACCCCATCAATCCAAGAATGTCATACATATTATTAAACAACTAGGTAGATAGTGACTAACATTGTTGTTATTTGGTTTATGCTAGTGTGCAGGAACAAGCTTGTTACAGTTCATGGCCTTACTAGATAGTGTTTGATAGAGAAATGAAGGCCAACTTTTTACTGGTGTTTTTATTGTTTTTGAAAAAAGAAAGTAGGTACTCCATGATAATTAGTTGTTCCTGACATCATATTTCATCATATTTTTCCAAAATTATCATTTTTGACCACTGTTTCAGGGTGGAGGCATGCATGTGTGGAGGCTGCTGTCAGGGATGCTTCGGGGGAATCTGCATCCTCTCCGTGTTATGTATTATGTATTGTATAGGTATATATTTCTTCTTTCTCTGACTTTCAGAAGGATGATTCCCAGAGACTTCTAGAGGGCTTCAACTCAGATGACAAAGGGCATTCACTCACAAGAAGTAAAGCGGAGTCCTATACTTCAAAAGAGGAAATGGTGTCAGAGGTAAAGTTCTGTTTTAGTGGTGGATGTCCCTTTTGCTTGAGGTACCACGTTCATGACCGTGTCCAGACTACCTTGATTTTAGGGCTTGGAATTGGAACCTTAGACATTCAAAAATTTTTTTTTCTTTTTAATAAAATGCAAAAAAAAAAAAAAAAAGAGAGAAAGAAAAAAGAGTATTGATAGCTGCTTAGGAACACTACTATTTGTGGCATTCATTCCCCTCTTGAATTCCATTTCATTTGGCTCTTTTGGTGTGGATTTCATTGTCTGTATTGTCTGTGGTTCCAAAAGGTTGGTGGCAAAGAACTTAACACTGTTAACTGAAAAAAAAAAAAAAAAAGACGACGACTTCAGCACAGAAATATAGTCCTGATAATTGATAGTGGATTCTTTCCTGGAGAAAGATTGTTAGAGAAAAATTGATAGCAACAGAGTTCCTTCATCAGGACCAACCTGGAATAAATACTTCTTTTTTTTTTAGTGTGTCCTTAGGATATGGGTATAGATTTAACTTGAATTTAGTAGCTTAATGAAGGGGCAAGAAAAAAATGAAGCAAACTGAGTATATTGAAGGAAAGTAGCATTTTCATGTTTTTCTCTCACAGAAAATCTCCAGTCAAGTATCAACTAAAGGCATAGTGCAAAGGTCAAATGATCAAAACTACTGAAATATCAGAGTGATGCATTGAAATTAAAGGACAGTTAGAAAAAAATGTAATTTTCATTTCAGATCTATGGTTAAAATGGTGACAAACCATGGTTCATTTGTCATTTTTCTTTGGTACAGAATAACAAAAGAACAGTGACTAGATTCTCTTTTGAGAGAATTTATGCAATGATATCATTTTATGCATATTAGCAGTCCTCTTAAAATGAGATCATGTTCTTTATAATGTGAGCTCACACAATGATATCCATTCCCAAACAGGCTAACTTGCTTGTAAGACTTTAAGAATTAGGTCCTTTGAGACCTAATTCAGGGGCTTTTTGCTATCTATTTGCCAAACTACTAAAGTTACAGGTATGTGTGTGTGTGCATATATATATGTATATATACATCTTTCTATTCACTTCTTTCAATTCTGAGGTTCTTTAGCCTATCATAAAATGAACAGTTCAGGAAGACACATATGTGGAAAAGGCTTTTAGTTAAGCTAGAACACTTAAAAAATGTGATATTTTCATTTGAGACATTCCAGATAGCAATATTACTGTAATTACCATATTAATAATAACTCTGCTTTATTCATGCCTGCTGAGAAGCAGGATGTCTTAGTTGTAGCACACTGCAGTTTGGCTTTATGGCCTTTGGACCGGAGCTGCTTTGCCTCCTGCCATTTCAGAAGAGTGGATTTGTTGGCTTCTATCCCTGGATAACCAGTATAGCAGTAGGACTGCTCAGTATGAGCAAGTGATTTGCATATTGCCCCCTTGCTTTTTAATTTATCAGCAAAGCCAAAATTACTTCTGGAAATAAATGAAACAAAGATGAAAAGGTGCTTTGATAAAAGACTCTAATGAATTACATACTTTGGTCTCCTCTTCCCACCTCTATTTAAAGACTCTATTAGTATTTTGATATTTTCTAGAAAAACCTATATAAAGAAAGCTATTTTGACAAAAGAGATTCTTTTATTTCAGAGTACAAAATCTCCTAAAGCTTGGTTTTAAACATTGTTTCTTACAGGCAACCTTTCAATAACATGTGTATAACCTAAAAAAATAAAGCTGATTGCGCCATTGTTCCAGGTCATAAAGCAGTAGATAGGAAAGAGGAGGAGCAGAAAGTCAGACTGTATATAACAGTGCATTGTATGAAAAGAATATGCATTATCTATAAAAGCTTCCTTGGAAGAACATTGGTATTTTCTCCAGATTATACATAAGAGCTGTACTACATAAATTCTTCCTGGAAAAAAAATGACGACTAGTTTTGTTTAATCTATTGTTTCTTTATTTAAATTGAAAGTCAGAATTTCTAACTACAGTGCTATCTATCCAGCTTATTCCTTAGTCATTTGTATTATTAAGGTAATTTAAGTCTCCCATGTCAAGTCTTTGGTTGGTGTTGAAAGGTTAAAAACAATATTGCAGATATTCTGTGAATACTAGCTGCAGTTTATTTCTATGTATGGGAGTAAAAACATTTTATAATGTTTAGGGAGAGTTGCAGTTTTTCTGGATTTCGTTGTCTGATCTGAATGAGTCTTACATGATTTTCCATACTAAGGCGGGAATTGTCAAGAAAAAGTCAGCTATCAATAAGAATTTTTAAATGAGCATGTGGTACTTACAGCAAACAAATCTCAGGCCCAGTGCCGTTCTCTTGGTTTACACTACTTTCTGGGCTTTTTTTTCATACAGGAAGATGAGTCTCCTCTGAACAGTAACATCACAGCGTTTGCATTAAAGGCAAAAGTCATCTATCCAATCAATCAGAAATTTAGGGTAAGTTCTTAGACTATTTGCAAAAATTAAAGAAGATCGTTCCATCTCAATATAAATTGCAGGGTTAAGAATTAGTGAAAGAATTACTGTCAATCTGCTTAACAGGGAGTTTTGTTTGCTAATAATACATTGCCTCAGGCTTTGTTCCATACAGCATCAGCTGCCTTCATCAATCCTGAAACCTTCAGTACTTTACCAGGTGTCCAGTCAATTTTCACTGTGGTCAAGAGACTTTTTTTTCCCCCCCTCTATTCTTCCCAATATCTAACCTGAACCTCCTCTGGCACAACTTGAGCCAATTTCTTCTTGTCCTATCAGTAGTTATTCTGGAGAAGAGATCAAACCCGCTTCACTACAAGCTCCTTTCAGGTAGTTGTAGAGAGCAGTAAGGTCTCCCCTGAGCCTCCTCTTCTCCACATTAAATAACCCCAGCTCCCTCAGACGCTCCTGGTAAGGTCTGTGCTCCAGACCCTATTAACATTAATGGAGGTTGGATCTGTTCAAGAAGCATTTAAAAAAAAAAAAAAAAAAACAAGGATCTATTCCCTCGGTAAGGAAAAATGCCCCAAGCAGATAACCACAACTGAAAAACTTTTTACAGGATACACAGAAACCTATCAATATGATGAACCGTAATTTATGCGGAAGCATTTTTGCTGTGTACTTATTTTTGCTTGCATCAAAGCAAGCACAGTGAATTGATGAGCCGTTTATCTCCTTATTGCAATGTGTTGATTATCCCTGTGAATTTTCTCTGACTGCAGCCATTGGCAGACGGCTCGTCCAACCCGTCTCTGCACGAGAGCCCCAAGCAGGCTGCTCTGCCAAATCAGGTGATGGAGACGTCCCCGTCGGGCAGCCTGGGCTCGCTCAGCCAGGGGGACAAGGAGGACTGCAGCTCCTCCACCACAATCCATTCCTCTGCCAGCGATGACAGGTTCCAGGCACGGACCTTCCTCAAGGTGACCTGCTTCCCTGAAGTGCTCACCTGTGAGAGGTAACCAGTTGTGTTTCGTAGTGCACCCTGGAGTTTTTTTCCACTAAAGGTTTGGCATGAACCAAATGTCTAGGATTGGATTCATATGTTCACCACACCAAAACAAGCTTATGTGCTTATGACCCTTAAAAAAGTGGCTGGAGAAGGTAAAATGCCTCATTTTATATATATGTATAGTAATGAAAGTCTGGGAATCAGAAGCAAATCAAAAGGAATCTTCTAAAGGTATACTGCATTTGAGATAAGGAGATTTCTTTCTATCCATATAATATCAATGCTACATTAGAAATTATGAAAGATTGTTTAATAACTTCATTTTCAATCCTGCAAGGTAACGACCATTCTCTGCAAGACCAGAGCCATAAACTCTTTAAGGTTTTGGTCTCAATTCACATGAAATATGTTAATATACATTGCTCTACAGGGATCAGAGTCCTTTGCATCAGATAAAATCAAACTATGCAATAGATGTCTCAGAGACAGCAAATGCCAGCAGTCCTTTTTTTGTCAATTTTAATCGAAATTACTTAAATAATAATTGTGGGAAAGCTTCCTCTCTCAGATGGTCATCACTAGACTATGTCAAGCTAACCCAAATGGACTTATTGTTTTCATTTCCATTTAGCCACATATCAGTAAATAGATAAATATATTTGTATTTTCATTATCAAAAAAGATATGTAAGTAACTATGGGTTTGGAGTGAGTACTAGCCATGAAAAATGCTTTCAAGATGTCCATGCTTATTATAGCTATTTTAATTTAAAACTTTCCTTTCCCTTTGTTTTACCCATTCATGCCTGTATTTATTTTGACTTTTTCTAAAGGGAACTGCATCTCCAGTATTGTTAAAGCAAAGGCAAGCAAAATGCAGTAATATGTACAGATATTTTATTTGAAACACAGAAAAAAAAGTCAAAATAAAGGATTTGACTGCTATTCTAGGAATATTGCTTTTAGGAAAGCTTATCAATAAAATATATGGTGATGCTCTTTTATGTGACTCTCATCTTGGTTAGCACTAAATTTTTTAATCTCTGTTCTAGTTTTGATGTGAAACTCTGCCTCTGCAGTCTTCTTTTAAAAGATCTTATGCTTCTTGATACTGAACTCAGAAGGGAAAAACATGTGGTGAGTACTCATGTCTCATTTATAACTATTTCATTTGAACATCTTAGTTGAATATCAGTTTAGGAAATAATCAAAAAAGACAACTGGCTACCTGGAAAGTACTATAGCAGAGTTGTATTTCTATACTATTCCCTATTTTTATCTGTCCATTCTGTGTGTATGAGGTTCACGCAGCCCAGTGAAATATAATGATCTGGGAAGAAAGGAGGTCAGCTTGGATAATGCAACAGTTTGGTTTTAAACCTTACTGTGTAGGATAACCTGTATCACTCAGTGTTCATTAAGATAAATATTTAATAGATTAGTTTATGTTTTACTGACAATGCTAGTGCAATGCAACTCTAAAAACAGTGTGTTCTTTGAATAAGACTGGAAAGTCAGTTCAGCTGAATCAGTGCCACTGTGATAAATACAATAGCCCTGATTTTCAGGACAGGGGAAGTAAGCACCCCTGCAAAGCCTAGATCAGCTACCTCTATCAGTTCACTGCATGCAAATATGACAAGAAATAAAAGAGTAGTTTATGTAATTAAGGCAACAGAATACTGGATTAGGAGAATTGTTGTGGTAAGTAGGGATGATGGAGTACAGAATTATTGTCATTACTGAGTTTCAGCTCAGGTAATTGAAACCTGAGGATAACTCTTTCCTCCCCTTCTTTCTGGATCTCTTTTAAAACATACTGGTCATTTCTGATATAATTTGTGAATGCACTGAGAATATTTCAAGGGATGGGGTTTTCTGAATGAATTTCTACATGACCCAGAAGGGGTAACTGAGATCAGATACCAGAAAAAGTTTAGCTTCACTAAGGAATATCCAGCTTTCACATTTTGCTCAGCTTGGAGAACATTCTGTCACATGAATGCTTTTACCTAATGCTTTTACATAAAATATGTTTTAAAACAGGCACCTGGATCATCATCTGTTTTCATGCACATAAGAGACAGGTTGCTGTTAGGTGTCTCACATTCTTATATTCATGTTGGAGGAGATGATGGTTAATAATGAAGTGATTTGTCTTTACACTGATACTCTAAAAGAGGCAAGGGGGAAGAAGCTAGCCAAAAATCAACCCAGCATTCAAAAATGTATTTTTGTAAACACAGGTATTGCACTTAAAAAAAAAAAATTTTTAAAAAGTACTTTTTTGAGAAAAGGTATCAAGAAAGTGAGATGGATACTATTTTCTTACAGGTTGTATATAAAAATGTTTAATATTTCTTTAGTTAGCAGACTACAGTTGAAATCACAGCATATTAACAAGTCATAAACAATTTATTAACAACTTTTAGCTTAGATGTTCATTAAAATTTAGAAACTCTGGGATTTAGAAATCTATGTATCTAGCAAAGCACAACTTCAAATTTGTCAACTTTATTAGATGTATGTGATATTTTTTCATTGCCTTTGTTAGAACATAACAGGATCTTCCACTACTCTTACTGAAGAAAAAGCCAAAGGATTTTTGCTAATACTGAAGAATTGCTAATGATGTTTCTTTTCCTCATGTTTTACTATATCTCACTGACTGACTTAAAGAAATAGAAGTATCTCATGATGCTCAATCTTGACTTATTCTGGCTTTTGTTTCTTTCATTCTGAATAGATTTTTATTCAGGTTCTCAAAATATGTCTCTCAGATTTTTATCATAAAAAGAAGATTACTGATGATTTGTTCAAGAAGATCCTTTTAACTCAGGAAAATGTAAGTGGATGGGTGGGTTTTTTTGTGTTTCTTGGTTAGTAACTTAGACAATAGGAAAAAAAAAAAAAAGAAAGAAAAGAATTATTCCCACCAATTGGTACAAGCTGACACAGTAGGCTATCTCACATGGTCTTTTATACAGCAGTGTCATTTGTAGGCTGTTTCAGAGTTAAGGCAAAGGTACTCACTTGTTACTTAATTTAGTTCTCCTAGTATCCACATTTCCTCCTTGATGTTGCCCGAGATGATTGGGACAGGGCTGTTTATAACCTGTTAAGAACAAAACTATTTTGTAGCTCAGTTCACTCAAGAAAACAGAATGTTCCATACCTTATTCACTCACAGTTAATAACTTCTCATTATCTGTTCTTTATCCAGACCTCTCTATCATGATTAATAACAACATAGCATGAAATGCAGTGATGGAACAAAGACCAAGGCTTTAAGCAAGGGAAAAATAGACTTATTTTTCTTTATCCTTTTTTCCTCCTTTTTTTTTTTTCTTCAGAGTCCATTTTGCTTTTATAGAAGTCCATTTGCACTTACAGAAGATAGCCGTTTGCAGTATGCAAATGCATACAGTCAATATGCATTTTGGATGGAGTCAAAATATTATTTTTAAGATTACTAGAAGATTTCCAAATGAGAATCCTAAAACTGCCCAAGTTGAATAGCACCCCTGGAGATGATCTGGTCCAGCCCTCTATTGAAAGCAGGGCAGTAGATAGGGATAACCTTATCAAGCCAAGTCTTGACTATTTCCAGTTAGTGTTGGGAATCTCTCCAATTTTACATAATAACCTACGTCAGATCAGTGTTTTCTTTAAAGACAACTTCACTGCCATGAATCCTTAGACGTAATATTTAAGTTAACAGTATTTGCTAAGTGGTGTCTGTCCATCTTACAAACTTTTTTAATGACCTTAAACTAAGAAAAGGTAAAAATAACATAGCGTGAGCATCTCAACATAGCCTAACACTTGCCAGCATAGGTCTCTTAATGTAGCCAAGGCCACTGCAAGGCAAAGACTAAATCCTCTCTATTACATGCACTCAGTGTCAAAATATCCCAGCCGGTAGTATGTTAAACCTCAGATTTGATATCCCAACATTTTGATATCCTATGTTATGGCTTTGGAAGCATGATGTCCTTAAGGTGAGGATATCACATAATGGAAAAAAATTGTTATAAATACCATCTAAAAGAGAAGGTAATAATAAGCAAACACATCAGCATTGCAAAATATTTCATGTAAACCTACATTTGAAAGGCTGAGGATTGTAATGATTTATTGCAGACAACATTTTCCTCTTAATTCTGCATTGTAACAGGGTTCTTGGGATTTTGATGCAATTGCAAAATTTGGTTACATTTCCTTAAGGCATAAAGTACTGAGCTAATTAACTGCTAAACAAAACTGTGTGGTATTAAACATAAATGCCTGTTACAGAAGGCATGTTTAAGCAACTAAAGAATCATTCATTTCAGTACCAAACTACTAAGTAAGGGCTAAAGACTGGTATTTATTGATATTAGCTTTGAGAAAAAAATCATGTGACTTCAAAGAACTGAAAAGCCATAAAAACCCACATAATCATTTAGCCTACAATTTGTCCCTTGCAAGAATTACAGGTGTATTTATCTGTGTGTATTAGCACTCTGCAGGAAACAGTCTGATAATCAGATCTGGGTACTTAGCTGTACTTTAAACACAGTGGGTACACTCAGCTGCCATTTAGAGATGAGACACATGCATTAAAATAAAAATATTTATGAATAGACTAGGACTAGCAGTAGGAAAGCCCATGGATCAGTATTTACTAAAACTTGAATTCAGCAGAAACGGTTCTTTATTGTACTCACATACTGGTCAAACTGGACATATACCTATTTATAGTAAGTATCATTCAGAGATATGCTATACATATAGTTTTGTGTCTTCTTTTCTTGCTGCAAAAGATGCATTACCCAGAGACAGAACTTTTTGAGCACTGTCGTTCAGTTTGCTTAACCACGAGTCAGACGTGGCATACAGACTTGCTCCAGAATTTGCAAGTGAACTTACTAACTCTATGGCAGCACGTTTGTACCTGTTATAGTTCTCTTTACAAAGAGTGATGATGATAATGGATGTTTTTTGTTTAACAAAATGCTCTTTTTTCTCCAGGATTTTGAAGAATTACAGAAACAACTTGACTCTAGGCTCCAGAATACCGAAATGTCAGGAGCCCATAATTCAGAGTACCAGACCCTAGAAGACTTAGAAAGAAAAGAAAGAGAATATTCTGAGCACATCATAGATAATGTAATTTTCTAATTATTTTGTTCTAAAATTTCATTTTAATGTTGTTCTCTTGATGAGATATGCTTTCTTTTTTCTACTGTTGATTAGTCCACAGTTAGTATTTTATATGTGCATGGGTCATAAAAAGAGTTTTACTTTGCTCCAGCAAAGTATTTCCAACTCTCTTAGGGACCCAACCTTTTCCGTACAAACACGCTTTCATCACGCTGCATCTAGAGCTGACAAACATGTATGGTTTACCAGGTGGTAAGGTGCATGTCAAGCCTGACTTTTATAGTTTGACTTATAGGAATTTTGTCATAGCAGCTTTCTTTTTTCTCCAAATAGTGTTCAGATAATACTTAGCTTCCATTACTCCGTAATGGAGTAAGAGAGTGATAAGAGAATATATTTTTTTTCAGCTGAAATAATTACTAATGAAATAATTATAGTATGACCTTTCAGTATAATTTGCACTTTTGCTAAAGCAAAACATGTTGCTGTAGCAGTGTTGCACCTTATACTACATTTTCTTAGTTTTTCATGTGAAAAAAAATTCCCCATGAAACAAGGGCGTTCAATCCTCAAAATAATAATTTTTCCCTTCAGTAGCATCATTGTCACCAAATTAGCTTATAGGCCAAGAAACTGAAATCTCCATTTCCAAATTTTTTTATTATAGTTTCTTTGATATTTGAGTAAATTGACTGCTGATGAAAATGAGACTACTCAACCTAGCCAGGCTGGTGGCTCTGTGGGCTGCCTGCACTGATCAACTATGGCACTTCAGTCTTGAGCTGAACATCCCATTATCTCAGCCTTGGACATTTTCCATAGAGAGAGGACATAATGTTTTTAAATGTTCTATAGTTAAGTGCTTCACTGGGAATTTTCTTGGCTTACTGTGGATTCTCTGTGCCATCTATTTTAAAGTGGAGATGTGGTAATGATAGCAGATTCATGTAAAGTCTTTTTTTTCCCCACGCCCCTTCCAGTTTAACTGTGTTCAATGAAAAATTGATTAGGTAGGGTTTTGAAGTGTTAGTAAAAAAAATAATAAATTTAAAAAAAAAAAAAAACCACAAAACCCACACATACGGTAGCTTCACTTGAAGCAACATGAGGCAGTTATTCAACATCAGCAGTCATCCTTTAGTAGATCTATCTCTGTTGAATCAGCAGATGCTTTCCACCTGTATTTAAAATGACTATACTATATGCAGTTCTTATAAGTGCTCTACAAAGATCAAGACCTTCAACTACTCATCTCTTCCTCTAGTAAGAGAGAGAGATTCTTCACCATAAGAATAAAAGCCTCACAGATTCTTAATACAAACCTTGGTGATTAACACATTTTCTTAACTTTATACATATAGTAATCCTATTGAAACCAACAGAATACTCTCTTGTACAGAGTTAGGCACAGTCATGTTTGAGATCAGAGGCTCAAACTAGAGATTGCACATAATATATTGAAATGGGCACAAACAACTTTTGAAATTGTATGTATGAAGTGCTTAATTTCTGAATTATTAAGTGGTTGTGTAGCATGTGGCTATAGAAGGCTTAGGTGGCCAAAACAGTGAATGTTGTTTTCCTTCTTTTCCTATTTTTTTGTCCAAAATCCCTATTCCTACTGATAAAGAAACATCCTAGAATAAAGGTTATAGTTCATGATCATTTTTACTTTTCCTGGTATTACTTGCAACATCCTAGGCTTTAGTAGATGTAGTATGTATGCAGCATACAAATGCAGTATGTAGCGAGCAAAACAAGGTCAGGACTGGACAAATAGACCACTTACTGGTTATGTGTCACCAACACATACCGTTTTACAATAGATGGTCTCTGGATATAGTTTTACAAATTATTCACTATAACTAATATTGAAAGTTGTCTAACTTCAGTGACTTATCTTTTAACACAATGAAATATTAAATGGTTAATGAGGGAAAATAGTTATGGTTTAATTCTCATTCCACAGATGGAAGCTTTCTGGAAGCAGGCTGACAAAGCCCAGCAGTTTCTTTTGGACCAGTCAAAATGCTCAAGTGCCAAAGCATCAAAGATAACTATGGATCTGACTGAGAGGATGATTGCAGTAGAAGGGTTATTAAATGAATCACAGGATTTGCGTGCAATGGTAAAGTACAAAAAGAATAAAATTTGAGAGGTATCTAGTCAAATACAGTGTCTGTGGGTCCTGTATCATAAATGACAGACTGCTTCAACTGTTCTCTTTCAGTTTTATTGCTAAGAGCTACCCGTGCAGTTTACGAAGGCTCACAAGAAGATAAATTCTTCACTTGAATTCTGATTCTTAAAGTAGATTTTATGCAGCCATGTTAGGGAAAAAGTGATGTGCACAATATTAATGTGGTCAGCCAGCAGCAAGCATACTAGACCTAATGATGAAGAAAACCATTTCCCTGAGCATTAGGACATTTCTTTTTATTTAAGTGTATTTATTCCACTTTGCCTGGACAACTATAAATTACAATTTTTCAGTTGAGGGGGATTGTGTCCTGTGTTAACTGGAACTAAAAATCCACAGCAGCTCGTGGAAACATAATCTTTAGAGGGCAGAGAAGTTTATAAGCTCATCAGCACTCTGCTTTTGATGGTGATACATCTAACATACTTGGGCCAGACCATTATTTACATTTGAGATATTGAAATTGTTGCTTGGATTTATAGATTACCAGAACAAACTGTCTAACCCAATACATTTGTTAGTGACTTGAAGAATAAAACACATGGTAATTATTAGCTTATTAGCTTTGCAGTAGAACAGAGTAAACCAAGCCTGTCACATACAAAGATAGTCTTTGCAGCTGATCACATGTGATCCACACTGAGCTGTCATTTAGGAACAGCACTCACATGGGCAGATTTCTAATGATATACAGTGAGATACAGTGATTTTCCTATCCGAAGTCACTACTGTGACTTGCATCTCATTGCAGAAGTCGCCATCTGTGGGTGTCCATTAACCAGGTAGTTGCTGCTCGCTTTGCAAGTTAGCATCCTTGTTTAAGGCAATTCCAGTTTAAGCTAGGAGATCTCATTCCTTCCTGCAGTCATGGGATTCTCCTCTAATAGCACAACAGAAGCTGCTAGGCCACGTGTCCATTTTAAATACTGCTACGAATAATGAAAAATACTGATAGCGTTAAGATAACTGTCTGTTCACCAGCATCAGGAAAAGAGTTTAAGGCCACTGCCAGGCCATACAGGTCCAGAGTTTCAGAAATATTTGCGTGTATGAAGGTTGTATTCACACCATCTTGAAAATTCCTTTCTAAATTGTTTTTAGACTGAATAAGCCAATGAAAGGATAAGCATAACCCAAGACCTATAACTAGTTCCTATGTGCAATTTTCTTGTTTGTTTTCAGGACATTCAAGAAAGGTTATTTAACTGGGAGCTTATGGTAAAAGCAGTTGATTTGCTGAAGTCATACATTCCAGAGGAGTGCAAATGTAGGTTAAATACTGTATCAAATATTTTGGACCATTTAACTGTAAAAAATAATCTCTCAGTCCGACAAAAGGAAGAGCTTTTAACAGACCTGCACAAGGCTTTCTGGGAGCAACTAGCACATTTCAGTAATGGTGAGTACTTTAGACAAGAACTTGCTGTAACTTAATGCACTCGATATGCGTTCTCACATTTGTATTAAGTTGTACAAAATCATGGTTTGGGCTCTAAAAGACTTATGTTTTTTAAAAGAGTACTGATGAATCGACCAAGAACACTATTACTATGAAGGCTAGATGCTTAGAGCAGGAACTTTGACTTTAACCCTTCCAGATCTTATTGCAAACTGTGAACTTATTCCACATTTTACATAATTCAAAGACCAAGAGTCCAGTCTACTGCAGCTAGACATGACATTGCTCCATCATACTTGATACCACTGATGATGCCAGCTGCTCTTCAGGACAGTAGTAGCTGTAAACGTACAAAGAATTCTCCTATGACCTCCTACTAGCACAAGGAGCCAGGAGAAGGTGCACATGGTGCTGTCACTCTTACAAGATATTAATATTTTCAATCTTCACACATTCATTTATTGTACTATATCAGACTAACATGAAAAGACTTCTAGTTTTTAAATTATCTTCTCTTTAAGATAAGGAATAAAGCCTCCACTCTTCTACTAAAAGAACTTCCAGATCAGAATGAACTGAACAGTCAGACATATATTCTTCTTACAGTATATTTTTGCTTGCGGTGCTGCTCATTGTCATCACTAAACCTGAAAGTGAGCTTGTACCACATCGTGGGGTCAGAAACTTCCATTCTGCAGGCTAGCTCTGCCTTAAAAGCATCAATTAGTCATCTGAACCAACAGTCTACTGATATTCATGACTTCATAAGTATCACAATATTGATATTTATCATAAATATTTGGTAAATATCATAAGTATCACCATATAGCAGCTGTTTACTCTTAAAACTGGCATGCCTTGCAGTCTTGGCATAGGTTCAACCATTAAATATCAAGCGTGAGCTTATGGCAGTTTTTTGTGTTTTCTTTCTTTTTTTTTTTTTGGCAGCAGGGTGGATTGTTTGTTTTAGCAAGTGGGCACTTATAGTTAATAATTGTAAAGCCTGGGAAAGAGGGCATTAACGTTCAGCAAATTCCTGCTTTCGGGGGAAGTGAGACATACTGTATGCTAATTTTCTTTTAAAGGAAGAAAAACACATAGCCCAAGTGCAGTATTTCCACATGAAAGAGTCAATGTAGATTGACCTTGCTAGGAGCTCCTAAAAGCAGTAGTTGTGCTGTACCTATAACTCACACACGGAACACAAAGCCAGAGAGAATCTATACTTCCAGGAAACAAGCAGGAAAGTAGTAAAGAATCAAGCAGCATGTAAAAATAACAGTTACTACATTTATTCAGATGACATTTTTATTAGATCTTCTTACACTTCCCAGTGCGTTTTCTAGTGTTTTGCTGGTAAATCATCAGCCCGTGGATAAGCAAAATGAAGTAACCTGGGAAGTGAGTAATGTGCACAGTGCTACAAAACAATTTATTTTAGTTAAAGCAGCTCAACATGGTTGCAGAACAACAGCCAACTATTCATTTGCATTCTCCCTTAGCTGCAGTTTTGGAGAGGGAAGTAATAATCTAACTATGGGGGAAAAAAAGGTTTCTTAAATGCAAAGGCAGCATGAAATGGAGTAGCAGAACATTGTAAAGACTGATTCCACTCTGTAGCACACAAGTCTACATAGCAGATTCATGGAATTAAGTCAGCTGGAACAAAAAGGCAGATAGGAAAGAACCAAACCCCAAATATTTTGGGATACTAGCTCAAAAGTCAGAGGGGCCTTGAAACCTTTTGCTTCAGATTCTTAGAAACCCCTGTATGGTTACGTGCCAGTTGAATGTGATCTAGTGCTGCTCTGTATCTGCTCTCCTCACTATGTGCCACCACCCCTGTCCTTGCATAGCAGTGGCATATCTGCAATTAAACAGTGAACCGCTTCTGGAGCTCTCCTAAGGTAGAGGGAGAGAAAGATGGGTGGGAATCCATTTCTTCCACTAACTCACCACCTTTGTATTGAAGAGTTGCAGCAGTGAAAAGAAGGGGCAAGAATGGTACTGATCCATGAACTGATAGATTTAAGTGTTGCATAACACCACAAAGATTCCTGTTTTAAAAAAACCATTGAGGTAAGAATTGGCTCTGAAGTCCTGCATGGCAATTACTTAGCTATTTTCCTTATTAGCAGATTTCTCTGAGCTTATGTTGTGTGGCAGTAGCAGATGCTACATTTTCACTGTGGAGTTACAGTATCTGATCACTGGTGATTTATGTTTCAGAATGTACCCAGCAAAGTAAAGACCTGATCCCGAAACAGCTGGAGTGCCGTGCAAAGAAGAGAGAAGAGTTCAAACACAGGCAGAAAGCTGAACAAGGGAGTCTCCTCAGTAAAACTTTTCAGACTGAGAAATTTCATGATTTTCTTAAGGTGAACGCATAAAGACTTATTTTCATTGTTCTACTGGTTCATAAAGGCAGATTTGCTTCAGATTTCTCCCAGTCCTATAAAATGGTAATTTTGGGTCCTTCTGACCCAGCGTAGGGAAGAGAGCAGCAGAGGTCCTCTCACTGAGGTTTGCCTCGAGTTGTTTTCTCCACTATTGGAATTGTCCTCTGGCATTTGGTTTTAGCATCACATTTGTTAAGTGCAGATTGGGTGTTTTGCAGAAAACATCCCTTACCCACATGCTGCACAATTGATTTAATGTAGAAAAACCTATGGTCTGTGTTACAGAAGAAAGCAGACTGTGCTGATCTAATTGCCTTTCTATAAGTGAGGTTACTGAGGCTCAGAAGACTTAAATATCATATAAGCAGAAGGCAAACTTACTTTGAATTCTTTCAGGATACCTTAGAGAAGGTTTGCAATATATTGTTTGATATCATATCCCGTGACCAACATAATGTTTTCTTGGCCACATTTTTTAGAGAATTATATCATTAGTGCTTAAAATATTAAGTCAGTTCCGAGTTGTAAATGCTAAGAGCTGCCCAACTTCTCTAACAGAAAAGCCACAGACTCAAGTTAAGAAAAATTAATCCTCAGCTTTCACCAAAATAAATACTTTAAAATGCTTACATCAGGCAATATTAAACTTTTGTTGAAATCTAATAGCTTAGATAAATAGCTGTATGGGAAGACTTAGATTTGTACTGTAGCTGATTGTAGGAGTTTGTTGATATCAACACTTCAGTTTTGTATTGCAGGCCAAATTCTTTAATTATATTGTATAAATTAAATAAGGCAGTTACTGTTGCTTTTCTGCATCACCTGTCTGGTATAGTTCATTTCAGAAAGCCTTTCACTACCATATATGAACAAAAAGAAAAGATTCCAAGCACTTTAAGATAGGAATGTTACCACTTCGGCTTCTCATGTTTTCTTGAGACAGATAATTTTATTGTCCATTTTGTATCCCCTGAGCACTTGTGAATGTATTTTCTTTGTGCACATCATTTATAAAATTATTGGACAAAAATAAGTTTTGTTAAATGAAGATTTTCAAATTTATGTTAAGCTCTTCCCCCTACAAAGCTTAGGTCACGAAGCTTTTGTGCAGGAGCTGCTCTATAGAACAGAACTGAGAAAGCTAACAAATATGTTTAGTTAAACTGTAGAGTAACAATCTGCCTTTTACAGGCAGAGTGGAAAGTGGGAGATGTTACAGTTTGCACTTTATGGTGCGGTACAGAGCACAAATGGTTCTTAGTATTAAAAAGTGCCTGTGAAAAGGATACATGTATGCATGTCCCATAATTTCAAGCAGTTATTTGAATGTTTCAGTTAAATTATTGCTCCTCAGCAAAGAGTAGCATTTTTAAGCCTGGCCCATGGTTTCATAGGTAGCTCAGAGTGGAGGAGCTGGCCTGAAGCTTCACTGCTAACCCAGAGTTTTTCCCATCTAACACTGACTTCTTCCCACTGCCTCAAAGGGCTGCTACCAGCGTGGCAGCAGCCTGCACAGTAACTGACCTTTCTGCTGAATTTTGCAATGAGTTTGCTTCACATTGGATTCTTCCCAGCACGAGTAGGATGGTAATGATTTGATTGCTGCGGTTCTGATTTTTGTTTGGAAAAAAAAAAATGCAGATAATAAAGTTTAGCATCCCTGTATCATGGTTCACCTGCTGGAAATGGAACATTTCTATTTTGTTCTTTTTACTAGCAGAGAACGTAGGAAAGATTCAATGACACACACAGGCCAAAAAGTACAGTCACAATAACCCAGTCCTGCTAAGCCCTATCCCTGTGGTGCATACAAGAGTTACAGAAATTAAGTCAAATTCCATGCATGATGAGAACAAACTTTAAAGCCCATCTCTAGAAAAAATAGTTTGTGTTTGGCTTTGAGTTTAAAAGTAGTTTTGTGTTCTTTAGGAGGGGTTTGTTCACAGATTTAGCAATGAGAGCTATGGCAACCATGCAATGCAAGAGGTCACTTACTTAAATGTTTTCAAAACATGGAATATTCGTTTACAAGACCCCGCATTAATCTATAAAATGAAGATTTTTAAGTAGCTCAGTCTTTGTAGCCCAAATAAAGGGGGTAAAGGCAAGATACATGCTCCTCATTTACAGTTCCAGATTAGCAATTAGATGATTACAGATGTTACAGTGGGGTCAGAGTAGATCCCAAGGAACTATGAAAGCACCGTTTTTAACTATTTATAGACGTGTGTTTCTCTTAGGCCTACCAGGAACTGTTAGAGAAGCATCACCAGATACAGTGGGACCTGGAAGAGGAGGAAGACTGGGAGAGCGCAGAGGCTGTTACTGATCTCTATAAGGTGCCATTTCAAATGATATGCTTTAATTACTAAAAACAATTGTGGAAATCGTCCAATTCCATTACACAGAATAAGATATCCCAGATGAAACTGCAGGAGACTTATTTTGTGAAAGATTGTGACAGTTCTAAGAAGCTAAGCAGGCAAACCAGTAGGAGGCAGAAGGACAGTCTTCCATAAAGCTTCTCCACTGTCTTGCTGACACACAGTATTTCTTAACTTTGCACTAGTCAGTAAACATCCATGAGATCTACCAAAACATGCTACTCAGGTGGCTGATGAGACTGCAGTAATGTGGACAGCATACTATGTTTGACCTTACTACCAGGATAAAGAAAAAAAAAATCATTTATTTAGCATAATTCTCTCTTCTGCACCATGTTAAGATGATACTATTCCTGATTAACTACATCTTTAAAAATAGTTATCATCATTTCTTCTCTCAGGGAAATTGCTTTGACCCTCATTTGTTCCCTGAAATAAGTTCAAATCTTTTCTAAAGTGGTATTTTTATACTTCTTAATCTTACCAATTTGGAAAAATATATAGAGGTTTCATGCTTTTGCATCATATCCAATTAACTATTTTCTGTGTGCACACAGGAGTAAGATAAATGATCTATTTGATGAAGAACAAAGCTGTAGCCAGAAGTGACCTTTAATTAGACTGGAACTAATCACTTTCAGCTCAACAGGATCTTTGTCATGATTAATTATGACCAGATTGGACATTATGGAAACTTGCAGTCCCCATCACCTCAGGATAAGATACCCATACAATCTTAATTAGCAAAAGAAGCTTGATAGTGTGTTTTTTCTGCTTTACAAGAAGTTTAGTGCTCTTTTCAAATTCAACTTGGAAAAAAAAAAAAAAAAAAAAAAGAGAAAAAAGAAAAAGACAGGCTGGAGTGAACACGTTTAGAAGAAATAGTTTTAAAGTAATTTTATGTAATACTGCAGGTAATCAAGTGTTTGAGGAAAAACTACTGCTTTAGAGAGGAGAAATATTTGGAGGGTTATTCTTGTGAATCTAAGATTTTTTTTCAAAACCGTTTCGCTTAAGAAAAGTCAACATTTGCTGATATTAGCTCACACAGCTCCAACTCTCTGGAGTTACTGAATTCTTCCCTACCCCTTTCCTTATTTCATAGGAAGTCTGTGGAGACCAAACAGTTGTTTCCCTTGTCCTGCTCCACTTCATTTGTGAAATGATATTGCTTTCTTTATGGTATACTTCACTTTACTGACATTCAGACCAGACTGAAAATCCTGTGTCTTTCAGTAGAATGTTAGCTAAGCTCTGTTTTCTATTAAAGAAAAACTAGTGTGAATGAAAAACCACAAACCTTAATTTCTACCTGTTCTTAAATTTTTTTATTGTGATATCTAATACAGCAAAAAAATGTACTTTTCCTTTTAGCCATTAGCACAGATGCTAGACTATTTCAGCAGAGAAATTGCTTTTGTGAACATCTTATATAAGCAGCACAAGCTAGAAAGAAGAGAAAGTACAAGTCAGCATAGCTCCACTTTAGCGAAGCAGGGGTATTTTGACTGCCTTAGCCGAGAGAATAAGTGCAGAAGTTGTAAATTTTGTCCATTCTGCGAAACACAGAAGCAAAGGGATGAAACTGCGTCTCAGTCATAGTGCCATCGTTTCTCACTCTACTCCACCATGCTTTCAGAGGGAAGGTGCCCCTTGGAGAAACAGGGGCTTTTTCAGGAGGCCTCCACCTCTTCCCTTGGTTTCCCCCAGTTTTGCTAGGGTGAAAGTATGGGAAAGGGAGAAGATACGGGACAGGTAGAGCCAAGCACCCAGCAGGTACCCGGCCAAGACAGCGTTCAGTACCGCACTGCTGAAAAGCTACAGTTAAATGTTCTGCTGTTTGGGTTAATCTCCATGTTTTCCGAGTTGCAAATAAATACTGCTGAAGAGGTTAGAAGACAAGAGACAGCCCTTATCAATTAATATGCAGAGAATTATGTTAAGTGGTTTTTTACCATTTCACCAGAAACCTGAAACCTAGCAACATTACTGAAAGAGTGAATGCATCTCTACAGTCACTCTAGCATACTGCTCAGATATTTAGATAAGTATTCTCTACTCCATGGTCCACAAGACATCCAAAGATAGATTGAATGAAAATCTACATCCTTCAGAAAGATATGTGCATGCTTTTATAAACAGAGGAAAGAACTAGAAGCAGTGAAATATTTAGATTTAAGCCTAGTTTTCAGTCTGTTGCAAGTGAAAATTAGCCTGTGAAGGCTGCGTGATTATGCCTTTTTTATTTTTTTTTCTCCGCTCTTTCAACAAGTTTTATTTCCCTTAAATCCAAGGGACATTTGAATGAAATGCCTTTCTAGGAGCTAGTTACCCAAATCCAAGGGGAGATTAAGTATTGCCTAAATCACAGTTACTTCATAACCAAGATTTAAGTAACAATATTCCATATGCCCTCTTTACCAAGCGGGGGTTGTTACAAACTTTCATACTGTCTACAGGTTCAGAATTAAAGGTAACCTATTAAATACTTGATCTGGATTGATTAATTTAACACATTTTTCAAACTAATAGTATTATAACTTCGATTGTATTTTTAACATATCCAAGCCCTCTATGTCCTAAAGTTACCTTTATGATTTTTTTTGAAGTCCTAGGAGCTCTGTCAACACTGCAAATTACCAGGTAAGCACCTATATCTTATAGAAAGATTGATGTATTGGCTCACACACAAGACTACTTGGTATAACATCCAATAACTTTCTGCAGTATAAGAGTACCATATGTTTTAGAGCAGTTCATAACATCCTAGAATTAAGCCCTTTTCTTAACTAAAGTATATCTTCAGCTGAGAGCAATAGGTACTAGACTTTTTCAGACCAGCTGCCTTATGCATACAGGTGCTTCCTTCCCACATTGGCTTTCTAAACCACCCACATTAAGTACTGTATCTAAACTTGTACTGTGGATTATTTAAATCTGACCGAATCCTCAAAGAAGACAATCTAATACTCCTAGCTTGTTGTGCCCCTTATCATAAGTTCATGGCTCTCAACACTCAGCATGTCTTTGCTAGCACAAGCAGAGCAACCCTTTGCTTTACTCAGTAAAGGCACAAAGCTCTCAAAAAACAACCTGATGAAATTAACTTGAGAAGCCCAAATGCCAAACCACAGGCCTAACTTCATGGTCCTTAACCACTATATTCAAAAGTTCCTTGGATCTTTTTTTCACCCCCATCAAGAGCAAACCATATAGCAAGATTCAAACTTACCTTCTTCTCCAAGATCCACCTCAGCACCTGCAAAAACACTACTATTCACCCTTCACTTCATCTTTCCACAACCCCTTCTAAACACCTTCATCAACTCTGTAATTACCCCCTTTATTCTACTTGACCTGCAGTCACTTACAGCAGCTGTTTCTAAGTAGCTTGTTTTCCTTTTAGGCAGCTGAGGGAAATGATTAGACCTCTTATTAACTCTCTCAAGAACAGTGCAATGAGGAATGAATTGTGTATAATAAATATATATCCATATATATGATGTATATTCTATATGTACATTATATATATAACATACATTGCATATTTAATGTATTTACATTATCCCAGCCACTAAAATGCTAATTGGTTGCAATTTAAAAGTAGATCACCAAAGCTTTTAATAAATTAGAAAATGAATTGACCTTTAAGCTGTAGGCTGTCTAGCTGTACTTGATAAAAGTTTGGACCTCCTTTTCTCCATCATTTGTACACTAGTACGGCTTGATTTATTTCAGCGGATTTACCTTGCCTTGTCTGGGTATAAGTAGGAAGAGAGGCAAACCTGATGAACTCAGATACATGCAAAAGTAGAGAGAGAACCTCAGTGCAAGGAGTGGAATCAGGAAAAGGTCACCATGTGACTACACAGGGGAGCAGTGCTTGTCCTGGGGCCTGAAAGAGATTTGACTTAACTATGATTGCCACTCACTTGCAGGAGACCATTTCTATCTTGTTTTCACTGTGTGCTTCACAACTTTTCTCAAATTTCTCTGCTTTTCCATTTTTGCATTTATGAATAGTTCATAAGCTCACAAAAACAGATTTATACAACCCTCTCGTAGCCTGTAGTGCTATAGTATGTCAAATAATTATCCAAGTTGCTGAATAAATATATAAGAATGCAATGATCTGGAGTCTGACTGTCAAGTTAATAATTGAATAGGCTTGTTTTGCGTATACACAAATAAATCAATTAAGATGATTTAACCAAGATCAATGTAATCTGTTGATGCCTGGAGTGGATGAGTTTATATTTGGAAGATAGTGTAGACTTCTCAACCATACTGGTGAGTTAAAATACTGCATTATAAGTGAACAGTCTATGTCTAGATTTTTGACCTCTTGTTAAGGTCTTGTTAAGGTTAAGACAAGCTCAATCTAATCCTGTTTTTTGACATTGATTAAATTGGGTCTATTCATTTCAGTCAGAGCTCTGAGGTGTTTATCTCTTACCAGTATCTTTGTACATTCAGTATCAGTTCTGCAAAACTTTTCTGTAATATTGCTACAATCAGATCTAAATTTTCCCTCTGTTAGCCACAACTAAAGTTATTTTGTAGCGCAAGTTGGGTGGTGGGTATAAGTGATTTCGAATCTCACACTAATTCATAATTGGAGAAGGAGTATAGGAGGTAACTAATTGAAAGGGCAGCCCAGTATTTTCATAAACATACATTTTTAGAGTTGTCCCATACACCAAGGGTATTGTGCAAGGCTTTGGTTGTTTTTGACTTGCACTTTTTTATTGTAATTTGTTTTTACATGGCTGTAAAATTGTCCTCCTCTCCAAATTATGTTCTTTTCTGTTTCTTACAATTTCTTAAAAGCATTAAGGACTCACTCCTTGCAAATCCACATTAGCATATTGGATGTTACATAGCCTTTAATCTTTTCTTTCTCCCCTTTTTTTGTGAGTTACTTGTTTATTTCAGCAGGGAAAGGAGTAGTGAGA